TCTTTTTGCCAATTTAACATAACAATCAGGTGTTCTCTCATCAAATTCTGGTCTTCTTCCCCGACAAATTTTTAACGAAAGATTAATATTGAAAGATTCACCATCAAATGCTCTTTTTCCAGTTGATATTTCGGACATTATAACTCCTAAGCTGTAGATATCAGCCGCTTGTGTGAACGGTTGACCCATTAAAACTTCAGGCGCTACATATGGCATAACACCATTAATTTCTTCTTTTGGTTTCACGTTAGATGATGATGAAAGTCCTAAATCTGTAATGTACGCACTTTGGAAATAATCTTGCAAGATATTACCGGAATGTAAATCTCGATGAATCAATTCTTGAGAATGGATTGATTCAAGGTCTGAAGCAATACAATACAACAGATTCAATTTATCTTTCCATTTCATGTTTACTACCGAACAAAGATTTTGATTTAATGAGCCTTTACTCGCATATTTCAAAACGATTATGTAATCTTTAGTTTTATCATCTCTTGCTACTCCATAACATTTTAAGAATGATGGATTTTCGTATCCAATCTCACAATACCTTTTCAACTATAATTAAATAAATTTTCAAATAAAAAATAAACCATTAGTATTATTTCATTAACAAATTCTTGATTACATAACAGTTAATATTACCTCATCGATAAATTCTCGACTACACTTATTCGAGCCATGAATCAATTTAAGCGCAACGTCTGTCCAAAAATTTCTATTTTTATCGAGCCAATACGCATAATATACAGTCGCAAATCCACCATTTCCTATTCTTCGTATATCTATAAATTCATTATAAGGAATCCACGATAGTTGATATTTTTCATCATTTAATATTTTTTTCAAATTAACATCAATGTCCTCATATGATAATTTGTTTATCCTATTTACACTTCTTTCTATTCGATACCAATGATTAGCTCGATGTATATCTCTCGGTACACCGATTCCATTTCGATAACAATCACCAACTTGCAAAATTGCATTAATATCACCAATATCCGCAGCTTTTTTAAAATATACAAATGCTTTCTTTTCATCCTTTTCGACTCCAATTCCATTAAGGTAATAAATTCCAACCTCACCCATTCCTCCAACATGCCCCATCTCAGCAGATTTTTGGTAATAGATGAATGCCTTATATTCATTCATTTCAACCCCAAAGCCATCTCGATAACAACAACCGATATTATATGTTCCACCAGCGTGCCCCATATTTGCGGATTTTTGATTAAATATAAAATACTTGTGTTCATTCTTATTAACTCCGATTCCATAATAATAACATTGCCCAATTTGATACATTCCTTCATTATTACCCATGTCGGCAGATTTTTGGTAATAAATGAATGCTTTATATCCATCCCTTTCAACACCAAATCCATCTCGATAACAACATCCAACATTATATGTTCCATCAGCGTGCCCCATCTCCGCAGATTTTTGATAATAAATGAATGCTTTACATTCATTCTTTTCAACTCCAAATCCATCTCGATAACAACATCCGACATTATATGTTCCATCAGCGTCCCCCATCTCTGCAGATTTTTGATTACATATAAAATACATGGATTTATTCTTTTTAACTCCGATTCCATAATAATAACATTGCCCTACTTGGTACATTCCTTTAACACTACCCATCTCTGCAGATTTTTGATAATAAATGAAAGCCTCATGTTCATCCTTTTCAACTCCAATTCCTTCATCATAACATAATCCAACAGTATATGCACCATCAGCGTTCCCCATCTCTGCAGATTTTTGATAATAATCAAAAGCCTTATGTTCATCCTTTTCAACCCCTATCCCATGTTGATAATTGTATCCAATGGTAAAAGGGTCTAAATCAGGTGATTTTTCATGATAAACCGAATTATTATGATCCATTTTACTTTTTAAATGTGGTAAAAAAAAATTCAGAATTCATCGTTTTAAATAATACCTGAAACATAGTACAACGTACGTACGCACAGTACGTAAGTATACGTTAAATCCGAGTTTTGAGTTCGTCCACAAAATCTTGAATCGATTGGTTTGTGTGTGTTATTTAATGCGTTATATTAAAAAATACAATGATCTACAATCTTTAAATGGATGTTTTGGTAACAGAATGTACATACGCGAGCATATACATAGAAAATAGGTAATTTATGACTAATAATAGTAAAAATTAAGATAAGTAAGGGTTCATAGAAAAACTCTTTAGTCTAAGAAGGTCTTTTTTTTTCTTTTTTTGTAACAAAAGCTTGTCATAATATGATAAAAGAATAGAACAATATATTATAAATCGCCCTAACTCTAATTATCCTAATTATCAAAAGAAGAGATTATAAAAATAAATTATGTCGGCATTTTTCATATATATATATATTAAATATACAGTCGAACCTCAGTTGTGTCTCTACTAAGTTATATCACCACCAGTATACAAAATTCTGGCATTATCCCTTTAGACATCAATTTCGTACAAAATGACATATAATTTCATTCAAAATGACAAAGTGACATTTAAATTCGTACAAAATGACATTCTCAAATCTGTACAAAATGACAATTAAAATAAGTTTGATTAAACCATGATATCTCGTGATTAGTGATCCAATTAGGTGATTTTAGTATCATTCGAATAGCGATAGTACCAGGCTAACCTAAATTGGATCAATAAATCACGAAATATCATGGTTTAATCAAACTTATTTTAATTGTTCTTTGTACGAAATTGATGTTAAAAGGTATACGTATTTTAACTGATTAGAAATATTTATATTTATATTACATAATTTTTAAAATTTACTAGCAAAAGTTAGTAATTTGAATAAGATTTGTAGTTATTATATTTTTATTTAATTAAGAAAAAAAATCAAAAAGTCGAAATAAAAAATGTAAAAACTTAGAATAAATAAAAATTTTAATAAATATATATAAATATTTAAATTTTGTAACTTATTATAAATATTATATTATTTTTTAATTATTTTTTTTTAGGTTAATCTTTAGTATAGATGGGCAAATATAATTTAGGCGAATGATATTTCCACACCTCTTTTTTGATATTTCCACACTCATGTAGATCACTTTTTTTTAGAACTTTAATTGAAGGCACCACGATGACCACCTGATCAAAATCGATAATTTTTTTTATTAGAATTCTACAAGTATGCAGAATTCAAATAAAAAAAAAATCATCGAATTGGTCAGGTGGTTATTGAGATACCTTCAATCAAAGTTAGACAATTTTGCCGCGGCTATTATTTTGAGATCTTTTTTAAAAACTTTGATCGAAGGTATCTCGTCGACCAGCTGACTAAATTCGATGAATTTTTTTTTTATTTGAATTCTGCATAATTGTAGAATTCCAATAAAAAAAATTTCATCGAATTTGATCTGGTGGTCGTCGAGATACCTTTAATCAAAGGTTTTAAAAAAATCTAAACATAATAGCCGCGGCAAAATTTTCTCTAACTTTGATTGAAGGTATCTCGATAACCGCCTAATCAAATTCGATGAATTTTTTTTTATTTCAATTCTGCATGATCGTAGAATTCTAATAAAGAAAATTTCATCGAATTTGATCAGGTGGTTGTCAAGATACCTTCGATCAAAGTTTTTTAAAAAATCTAAACGTCTATCAAAATAATAGTCGCGGCAAAATTTGATTGAAGGCATCTCAATAACCACCTGACAAATTCAATGAATTTTTTTTATTTGAATTCTGCATACTTGTAGAATTCTAATAAAAAAAAAAATCGTCGAATTTGATCAGGTGGTCATCGAGATACCTTCGATTAAAGTTTTTTTTAAAAAAAGTGATCTACATGAGTGTGGAAATATCAAAAAAGGGGTGTGGAAATATCACTCGCCTATAATTTATTATATTAAAATTTTATATATATGGATCTTTAGTAAAGGTGAGCAAACTCCAACTCCATCAAGTATTATATGATTACATAACATAATAATTAATTAAATCAACTTTACATTAATTTACTTAATACTAGCTTATTTAATAAACTTTTAATGTTAAATTATTTGATATTAACTTATTTAATATTAAGTAAGTTTAGTAAACAAATATTGAGCGAGTCAATATTAATATTAATTTAATATTAATTAAATTTAGTAAACTAATTTTAGATAAGTTAATATAAGTAAGTTGACAAAACTTATGACGAAACTGGGCTGAGTTTTGAAAAAAAAAAACTCGAACTCGGCCCGGCATTTATTAAGTCTGGCTCACAACCCGGGAGTTTAGCCTAGCCCATTCTGTACCATAATTCGCATTAACTTCAAATCTAATCAATATTGAGATTGGTACCCAATCAAGAAACCGATATTTTACACCTCTTGCCAACCAAATTCGTATGAACAATAATATGAAATTCACAAATTTCTGCTCGATTTTTGCTTAATGTATTTTTTAACGTCAAGTATGCTATCATTATCGACGAAATAGATTTATGAAATGAGTTGACAACGAAATGAATCATCGATTATCGTTGAAACGTTCTAATACAGTAATACCTATTTTCTAAACCTAATCTTCAGTAAATCATTGCTTCCTGGCTTTTCTCGATCGTCATACTGTGACAATACGTAGCTACCTTCAGACTATGGTAGTAAAGAATTCAATGATACTTAATTTGGACTTCCAACGGCTTCTTGGCAAGCCCAAATGCTCTAGCTTGAATTTCTCATTCTTTAAATTTGTACGTATGATATAATGTATCCTAAAAAGGAAATTTGATTTTCTACTATGCAATATTAGCCTAAACTCCGATACTATCCGTAATATTTGTTCGCCACTAACATTTATATTACATCATTACATGTCATAATTTTAAAAAATTAAAAAATGCGATATAAAACCGTTATTAAAAATTCTGTCATCGTAATTATTTAAACTTTTTGTTATTATTTTACCGTAAAAACTTTCATCGAAATGGTTTATTTAAGTCGTCTCATAACTGACAAAGAAACAGAGGAACGCGATGATCAGGCTAGTAATTCTGATAAAAGCAATTTATTATTACTAAATTTCTAATGCTTAAAACATACTCATAAATTATTTTGTACGGTAAAAGGCATTCTCAACTTCGGTTTATGGATCTCGATGGGATATTGAACCAATTCCAAAGTAAGACCGATTAAATTTATAGATAGCTTCTTTTTTTTTAAAAAATAATTTGATCGATAAATTTATGTAACTATTAATAGATATTCACTACCTGAGAAGGAAATGCCTCCAAATATCGCTTATAAACTCATTAGAGATGATCTTCAGGTAATTATTATCTTTATTAATTAACCATTTATGATAAAAATAATTTTATATTTGACCTTGTTTTTTCATAATACAAGTTGGACGGTAACCCGGGGTTAAACTTAGCGGCTTTCCTTACTACTTACATGGAAGATGAGGCTGAAAAATTAATGACAGAAAATTTGTCAAAAAATTTTATCGATTATGAAGAGTATCCTATAACTGTAGAATTACAGGTACAAATTTTCATTCCGAATTGATACCGATTATATAATTGAAATTCATTTTATTGTTGTAAACTTGTTTTAGAATCGATGCGTCAACATGATTGCTCGTCTTTTTAATGCCCCTAATGATGATGAAACAATAGGTGTTTCAACTGTAGGTTCTTCGGAAGCTATTATGCTTGCTGTATTGGCAATGAAACGGTTATGGAAAAAAAGGAGGATTGCCGAAGGAAAGCCCACCGATAAACCGAACTTAGTAATGGCAGCATCGGGTATTTATATATTTATTGCAATTTGCAACTCACTTGATATTTCTAATAACAACCCTTAATTACTTGAATAGTTCAAGTTTGCTGGGAAAAAGGTACTGTAATTTTTTTTTTTTTTATATATACATACGTACTATTTTTCAACTTTTTTGTTAACCAATAAATAAATAAATTACTTAGCCACTAGATATTTTGAAATTGAAGAAAATTTTGTTTATTTGTCAGAAGGCACATATGTTTTACAGCCCGAAAAGGCCGTTGAACTTGTAGACGAAAATACAATTGGTATTTGTGCTATATTAGGGTAATTATCATTCCACTTTGGCTTTAATTGTACTTTTTTACGCATTAAATTCATACATGATGATCACTCATATGGTATGCTCCGGACACTGTGCATAAGGACGCCAACTAACTAGTCCAAGAACGATTTACTCAGTGATCATCATAATGGCGTGATTTTAAATCATCACATGGGCACAAGAACGTGATGCTAAATCATCACATACAAATTACTAATTACATGTGATGTTTTACTAATTGTTTCACGTGATGCTTTAAGGCGTTATGTCGCGCCCCATGTGAGGATTTTCTGTGCCCCAGCCCTAGCCCCAATTAGTCGATCACGGAATTTACAGTACAATGTCATTATTACGCAATGTCTAATATGATTTTCTGTTACTTCCAAGTTAGATCGACATACACTGGACATTATGAAGATGTGAAAGCAGTTAATGATCTTCTGCTGGTCAAAAATAAAAAAACTGGTTGGGATGTGCCGATTCATGTCGATGCCGCGTCTGGTGGATTTGTCGCTCCTTTTGTGAACCCTGATCTTGTTTGGGATTTCAGGTTTATATACCTTTTATATATTTGGCTTTAAAGATTTGCAATGTTACAGTGCCAGTCTAAAACACATGTGAATTAAAATTTTAAATTTATAATTCATCTGAAATATTGTAATTGAGATTGGCCAGATCTCTAATAAGTTACTTTTATTTTATTTTTACCATTAATAAGATATCAAAAAAATTTAAAATTTTAATCATGTGGTGCAATATTTTCGATTACCACCTTCAATAGTACTGTAGTAGGCTCATAACATATCATTATTAAATTGTTCATATAACAATATATAGACTCGAGTTGGTTCGATCCATAAACGTTTCGGGTCATAAATATGGATTATGCTATCCGGGTGTTGGATGGGCTATTTGGAAATCAAAAAGATATTTGCCTGATGAATTGATTTTTAATATAAATTATCTTGGATCTGATCAGGTATAAAATTTAATTATTTATAAACATGCGATTTATTATGAAATGCCGAAAATCAGAAGTTCGATAATTTCAAAATCCGAACATTTCATTCTTTTAATAGCTTATAACCCCAATAATTCATGATCTCAACAATCCGTTTAATATATTAGCAATTGATGACAAATTATCGAGATTTATAAATCTTCAGGATTTTAAATTGTTGATCTCGAAATTATCTGATTCGAACTTCTGAGAAATCGAAATTTTATGCTATATCTGTATTATTATAATCTGACTTTTATCTTATTTTCATTTTTCTCGAGGCTTCTTTCACCTTAAATTTTTCCAAAAGTGCCTCAAATATAATCGCCCAATATTACGTTTTAATTCGACTTGGACGTCAAGGATTTACCTCGATCATGAGAAATTTGATGAGTACTACTGATTATCTTGCTGCCAAGCTAGAATCCACAAATAAGTTTGAGGTTCTGAGTGATAGAAATGGAAATGGAGTGCCGCTTGTAGCTTTTAGGTTGACAGCCAAAGATCTACATTATGATGAGGTTTGTAGAATTCTTTAATTCAATATTCAATTTAATTCGATGTCAAAGATATATATATAGAACATAATTTTCAATGAATATTGTTAGTTCGATGTTGCTCATCGTCTTCGTGAACATCAATGGATTGTACCATCTTATACTATGGCACCGCATATTAATAATATCAAATTGTTACGTGTTGTATTACGCGAAGATTTTTCACGTGAACGATGCAATCTTTTTATTACGGATTTGTTGCATACTGTTGATTATTTGGATAAAATGGATAAAGATTATATTCACATAAAAAGGTATTTTTATTCATAATCTTTTTTTTTTAATAGATAAAGTTTACAAATTTATTCAAATGATTTTCTTTGTTTATAGATCTGCGGCCGGAAGATGGAAAGCCCTAAAAAGTATATCGGTTTTGGCATTTAAAGATCAATCTCATAAAACCAATGGAGTTTGTTAATCAATGAATTCTTGAAATTTAAATGTTATGAATATTTGAATATTTAGTTTATTTATTTCTTGTTCTTTGTTTTTATGTAAATGACTTAAAGTATATTAAAGAACGCGTACATACGTACGTCTTTTAAAAAGTTATTGTAAATGGTATTATAAAAGTGGGGATACATATATGTGCAATATTGGTGATGTCAGTAAAACTGTTTCGCGTCATGTTTTAATTTTTCAATTTTCACTGGTTGAAAAATGGCTCGGGAGATCCTTAATGAGACCATGAGATATTAGTGCGTTCTCAAGCACCTTCCTCAATGGACTCAACGAAGAATCTGATTGGCATACCTGATCAACTGGCCAATTAGATTCTTTACTAGATACTTGACCGGTCGTTAAATGACTGGCTTGCATTATTATGTAAGTGGGGCGTCCTCAATCAAAACTTGGTCCGACAAGTTGATACACAAAATAGTTCATGTCTAATTGTAACATGAGGTGTCGTCACTTTTTATTACACTTATTCTATTTCGTTTCCCAATCGGGAATGTTTTGGGTATGTAACGCGGTAATATAAATAGTAGAAAATGGTATGGCAAAATTTCGAGTTGACGTAAAGTCAACAGATCGAAAAGATGCTAAGCATGGCGATGTGCATCGTGGAACCATCAACCAGAACAAGTCCGGTCCAGACAATCAAAGGAGGGTGAGTATGATTTGAATGACTTTCTATAAACAGTAATCACTAACTTGATAAAGGCGGCAATGAGATTGTGCCAACGATTGATCACTCAACTGCGACAGACCACAATTCGCGATACAGCGTCGACGGAAGAGGCGTTTAAAATTATTAATAAGCTTTGACTATTGCGAAGCATTCCTAATCATCATAATATTATTCCTTTCTACGAAGTAACAAGGGATAATAATGGAGATGACAGACAATTACGCATTGCCAAGGAAATAGCACTCGGCTTTCAATTTAATATGATATTATTCAGAGAGTTTCAATTGAAAATATCTCAACACATGAAAGCAAGTCAAAGATTACAAATTTTGGTCTCTCAAGACAGGTGTGATAACAGATCAGATATCTATAGCTGTTGTGCAATTTTCTGGGAAAATTTCAAGCGAAAGGACACTATCCCAAACCTTAAAATTAAAGATGATAAATCTCTATAATCATCTTTACGAAGAGAACAAGAAGAACCTACTGAATATGCACCACCTCAACATTCCAAAACTTTACAAACGTTGTGATATCAATCCCAACAATTGCCCAGAAACAAGCCAACGTTTAAATATATATATATATATTCCTAACAAAGCTATGAGTCAATACCATCCTATTAAAACAAGAAGAACTCATTGAAGATACACCACCTAAATATTCTGAACTTTACAAACGTTGGAATATCAATCCTAACGATCGTACAGAAACAAGCATAATTCCCAATGTTTAAAAATACAACATTATCCGAGGATAGAGAATTTCCTTAAGTCATCAAAATAATATAAGCGTATATTATCTCTGCTGTACATATGTATCTGGTACGAATGATTCAGGTCAGAAAATCATCATCCTTGAAAATCTGAGAAATGAAGCATTGCAAAATTTCTTTTTGAATAAGGCAAATCTCTCTAAGTATTTGAACTTATTGACGAAATTCTCGGAACAGCCAGCATAGTCAGAACCAACTCAAATGTACTTGAGTCATTTGACAGAAAACGTGCAGATATGCTTCGCAGAATACTACGCTGATTTCATTGGGTCTTTAAATATAAAGATTTGCGATACTAGAAATCAAACCCAAGAATGAGTAGGCATTGGATCAACAGAGTGCAACACAACACATGATGAACAAATTTGAAGCATCGCTAGCAGATGCAAATAATCAATAATAATAATAATAATAATAATTGTCGCGGCTGATGCTTGAAATTTGAATTATTTTAATATGAAATTTTTAGAAATTTTTGGGGCCTTTTGTTAAGGGTTTTTTTTAGAGTTAGGTTAGGGTTTAGGGCTAGTTTTTATAATAAAAGAGTATAAGTGGATTTGTGTAGGGTTTATATTTTAAATCGAGGTTCCTTATTTCAAGCATCAGCCGTTTCAATCTTCAGCTCGACAATAATTAAGCCAACATAAGGCAGTTTGAAGTTACAATTTCGTTTAACGTTCTCCCCCCACTGCCTCCAATAGCTCCCCCCTAAAATTAAACAAACCAATCAGAACGTCCGCTACATCTTTAAGATTTCAATAAATCATGTGACTGTAATCAACCAATAATAATGGTGGTTTTTTTGAGGTGTTATATAATGTTTGTTTAATTTGGCCCCCTCCCCCCACTGCGCTTAAGCTTCGAAAGGAATGTTAAACGAAATTATAACTTCAAACAGCCTAATATGCATATCACATGATGAATAAAGTTAAAGAATCACTTGCAGATTTAAATAATCATTAAAAATCAAACCAAATAATGCATTATTATAAAGTCAACGTGGTGAAACTTATTATATGATGAACAGATATGATGGATCTCTTGCAGATTAAATAAATCATTAGGAATTGAACCAGAGAATATATTAACATTAAATCAATGAGGTGAAACTAATTGCATGAAAGATAGATATGATAAATCACTTGCAAATTTAAACAAATTATTAAAAATTACAATTAATGATACATTTATATCAAAATATCATAAAGCAACCTAACTTACATTGAAGAGTTACTCACATAGTGAAATAAATTGTTAGAAATTGGATCTAATCTGTATCCGAATTAAGATGTGAAACTTATCGCATAATATACAGTGTGTTAAAAAAGTCTTTGGATGACTTCACGGGGCAATAACTTTATGAAAACTGTACCAAATCACATGACCAATAGCTTATTAGAAAGCTAAAAATCCGAAGATTTTATTAATAAAAATTTAATACAGGATACGATCCCCTTTTTTTTCAATTACAAGCTCACAACGATTTCTCATTGACCCCACCAAGTTCTCTAAAATGCCTTGTGTGATTTCATCCCATTCCTCCGCCATAAATTGCTCTAATTTATCTAAATTTTTTGGCCACCGTTTTTCAACATTATTTTTAACTATATTCCATAAATTTTCAATAGGATTTAGATCGGGACTATTAGAAGGCCAATCAATTACCCTTGGTGCATTATCATTTAGGAACGTTCTAGCTACACGACTTGTATGCTTGGGATCGTTGTCTTGTTGAAATTCCCAACGACTCCCAAGCATTCTCCTAACCTCGGGAAACCTGTTTCTTAATATATTAACGTAAAACGGACCATCCATTATTCCTCTAAAACAAAAAAGACTAGTTTTACCCTTACAGTAAAATCCACCCATGCTTTAATTTTTACTTTGTCTTTAGGAATTCGACGTACGGGACGTTCGTCCTTATACCAGTACTCTACGGTATTCCTAAACAGTTGGAAGGCCGTTTCATCAGAAAATAGAGTTCGACTCCAATCATAATTAAGGTATTTTCTTGCCCACTCTACACGCTTTTCCATGTGCTTTGCCGTAAGCATTGGTGTGGCATAAGCTCGACCTTTTTTATACCCAAGCTGGGTTAAATTGTTCCAAATAGTTACGTGGGAGACTTGAACTTCCCTTTTAAGCAAATTTACCGCCAAAGACCTTGTAGATATTGCCGGGGCCCTTTTTATTTGCTGAATAAGGGCTTTGGTGATTCTAGTAGAGATTTTTTGGGGGCGGCCACTTCGCTCTCGATGTACTACACTTCCATTTTTTTTTAGCTTGGAAATATTATAGTATATAGTGGACCTTGGGATATGTGTTCGCTTGCGGATTTCGGTTGCACTTTGTATTCCTTTACCCCAAAGTTGTTGAACGGCTTTGGCATTGGTATCTTCGTAGGTATACATTGTACTCGTTAAAAAAAAAAAACACACAAGGTAAAACTACGTATAACTATGCTAAAAAAAAGATTGATCGATAATCAACAAGTAAATACTTTGGTTGCCGGGATACTAACCAAAAATAGGGGATCGCTAAAGTGGGGCAACTATTGAATTGACGGTCCAGGGGGTCGTGTATGTCAGTTGATCATCTAATCAATGCAGCCAATCAGCGCACCCCGTGCCGCTACTTACATCTAATCAATCAATAGATTTTTTTTTATTATTAAGGGCGCGTTTGAACCTTTCGTAATTACCGGCGGCTTGAAGTTCTTTGAAAGGTCGTTACTTACCAGTATAGAAGAAACCTCCCGCGACAAGCCAGTAGTTCTATAGTTATTATAAAAAGAAAAAAAATTTTACGTTAATAATTACCGGCTTGAAGTATTGTTCTCTGCGAGAATACTACTTAAAAAAAAAAAAAAAAAACGTAACAAACCGGCATTTGAAACTCTGGTGAAAAAAAAAATCCCACGGCTTCCGGCTAAGTAAAACCACGACAAACAGCAGGCAAACGAGCAACTCCTACAACAAAAAGCTAGCAAGTCGGATAACATAAAAAATAAAAAAAAAAAAAAAAAAAAACTTACAGTAACGACAAATTATAACGATACGGATACACTACTGCAATGTCGACCATTCGAGAACGTTTTTTTAATGTGAATGAAACGTTCGAGCTTTCTACTGAGGACTTCAACAAACAGTGGGCTCTGGTTGATAACGTTTGGACAAGATTTAATGGATATTTATTGGATAATGGTGATGAACGTAAGACTTTCGTTTGTAGACTTTCAAAGCCTAAAGAATCGAGTGGAAGAAACGAAAATGTCCCCCCTGAAAAGCTTCGCGTAACCTGGAAAAACCCCGCTATTAATTGTGAAGCTAGAATTAGAATTACGTGGTTAGTGGCATCGAATACAGTTAGAATTGAGAGGGTAAGAATAAGAATACCGTTGTTTAAAACATTATTATATAATTTAACAAAAAAAAAACAATGTTTATAGGTGAATAATACCCCTAATCACAGCCATTTGATAGAAGAATGTGATATGCGAAAACGATCGAAATTCATTAAAGATATGGTGGCCAACGAGGCAATTAAGGATTACAAACCCCCGACGATTGCAAATGTTATTAGGACAGAAGTCTCTAAAGTGTGTGAAGACTCGGGCGTGGAATATTTAAAAACTAAGGAGGTCGCTAATATCAAGTAGAAGCTTGTTGGTCCTATGAGTTCGCATCTTGTTGGAGATGCAGATTTAAAATCCGATCTTTCAAATGCTATCGAATTTTTAATAAAAAATAATTATCGAGCTGAGTCTTTTTTTAAGCAAGAATCACTTGAGCGTTTACGAGGTTTATGCTTTGCAAACCTGTGGCAAATAGAAAATCTAACACGTTACGGTTGGTTGACGTTAATGGATTCTACACATAATACTAATAAGCACGGATGGCGTTTATTTACTTTATACGTTCGTGATGGCTGTGGTTGTTGGAATGCCGGCGCTCACTTTTTTGTTAATAAAGAAAATAGTGAGGCTGTTGCGTCGGCATTAAAAATTATTCGAAAAAACTTTGTGCCGCAATGGAGTCCACGATATATGCTTCTTGACCAAAGCAATGTAGAAGCCAATGGTGTTGCATTAACGTTCCCGGGTCTTTCTATAGGTAGGGGCAGAACGAATTTGAACTTTTATTTTATTTTTTTTTTTATTTTTTTTATTTTTTGATTATTTTTTTTTAAATTATCTTGATCTATAGGAGAGCAAGAATGCGACGTTCTTTTTTGTACTGTACACGTCGTACGAACATGGATGAAAAATATTTATCATGGCCCGACACTTAACAAAATGATCCATGCAATGCACAAAAAAACACAAATCGGATGTGAGGAAATTGTCCGTGATACTATAAATACCTGCCCTGTTCAGGCCAATGCAAAGTATATCTCCAGAAACTATCAAAAAAATTCAAGACAATGGTCTCTCTGGGCTAGGCAGCATTCGCCACTTCTTCTTCAAATTACTTCAACTAACCCTCTAGAGTCTTACCATAGCGAGATTAAGGCGAAAGTTTCTGTTCAATACGGTCTCATAGGCGAGTATTTTCTTCGAAAGTTTTTTTTTTTTTTTTTTTTTAAAAAAAAAAAAAAAAAAAAAACTCGCTTTTTAATTTCTGTTCTTTCAAATTACTGTGATCGGCAAAAAAATTTTATCATACACCACATGAACTTCGAGAATCTGGAATTTTGAACTGCGAAATGGTTGGTTAAAAAATTATGTTATCTATGTGTGAGCGAAATATCTCAATAACGGGCCTTGTTTCAAATTCTGGGACAACTGAAAAATTTCTGATGACCGAATTCGATAAGTTTCTGAATTCGGCCGAAGCTAGCTACCTATTGATTTTAACTCGCTAACTTATCGAATTCGGTCATCAGAAATTTTCAGTTGTCCCAGAATTTATGAGAAAAGCTGTAAGCGTTTACAGCTGTTCTCATAAATTCTGGGACAACTGATAAAAATTATTTCGGCCGAATTCGATAAGTTTTTGAATTTGGTGTTATCTGAACTGGATTTCGGCATAACAGTAATTCGATAACACCGAATTCAAAATCTTATCGAATTCGGCCAATCAATTTTTATCTGTTGTCCCAGAATTTATGAGAACAGCTGTAAGACTATTTTCGGCTCCTATGAATTTTTAGGATTAGAAAATAGCTTTGAACATTGGGGGTTTCAAATGTGATTTTTTTTTAAAAAAATTATAAAATCAGAAAATAAAGTAAGATCTCAAATTTTAATTTTGAAACCCCCAATTGAAAACAGGCAGGGTATTAGATTTCTTCGCTCAAAATTTATGAGTAGTTAGAAACTAAAAATTTTTATCGTATGGTCAACCAACCTAATTAACATTCAACAGGTAAGCTAAAATTTTATTTAATGTTGCGGCTGAAGCTAGGAATTTTAATTATTTCAATGTGAAATTTTCAAAAATTTTTGGGCGTATTTTCTTAGCTTTTTTTTATAGTTAAGTTAGGGTTTAGGCCGTATTTTCTTAGCTTTTTTTTTAATCATTAAGTTAGGGTTTAGCGTATTTTTTTAGCTTTTTTTTTAATTGTTAAGTTAGGGTTTAGGCCGTATTTTCTTAGCTTTTTTTTAATAGTTAAGTTAGGGTTTAGGGTTAGTTCTGATAATGAAAGGGTATAAGTGGATTTTGGTAATGTTTATATTTTTAAATCGAGGCCCTCTTCAGCTATTTCTAGCTTCAGCTTCGACTGTAATATTCATTATCTACTTTATTTTTACTTATTTATTAATTAAAGGTTCAACTCAAAACACGGCCAGTAATTACTATAGAATTTTTTATTCTTGCAACCAAACAGAACGAAGCTGCAAAAACTGTCATATGTAAAGTTTGTCGAAATACTTTTTTGTGCACAGTGAGACAAAAAGCGTAGGTTTCAATTGAAATTTGACCATAACAAAAGATGTGTTTCTCTTTTCTAAAATATGTATATTTTTTTTTTAGATTAAAGGAATAAACATAGTAAAAATCTAAAAGAATGTTTTCCTGGATTTACGGATGTCAAGAAATAGTAATAACATTAGGGTTCGACCAAACTTTTTTTTTTAATCACGGCATTACTACTTAGCCTGGGCTTGGGAATCGGCATTTCTACTTAATTTGGGATCACGACCAAACCAAATATATATCCCATTTATATAACACATCACCGGCCTGGTATCAAATGTGTGACCCTTTAAAAACAACTCGAGGATGGACAAGTACAAATAAAAATGATGATTGTATTAAATAATTCAATTTAAAAATACAAGAATGCAATGGACGAATACGAATTTCAAGAACTTTCGAAGTATTATTATTTTTAGTGGCAATTAAGGAATTTGCGTGATGTGATCATTCTGACCATCAATGTAATTTGAAAGTGCAGTAAATTTTATAAAAAGCGATGCATTGTTGTATTTATTATTTAATTTATTATTATTAATTATTATTAATTATTATTAATTAAATTATTATTAATTATTATTAATTATTATTTAATTATTATTAATTATTATTATTATTATTATTATTATTATTATTATTATTTATTATTATTATTAATTATTATTATTATTATTATTATACAGGTGCGTGTTATATCCTTGTAGAACTCGACAAGAAAAAATGCTAGTTGCAAAAGAAACCGTCATCAACTTTCGTACCAAAAGAATTTCTCTCGCAAATATTAGGCCAGAAATTCTTACCGAGATCCACAAATTTCCTTTTCCCATTCAGAAACTTATCGCAGAAGAAGTACATGCCGTCTCAAAAAGATTGGAAGAGGGAAAATGTACACCAGATCTTGCAAGTGCAGAATGCTCATGTAGATTCTTCAATCGGTACATGTTACCGTGTCGCCATATTTTCCACGAACAAATTTGTGGGGCCAATATTTTAACGCCTGAAACTTGGAGTTACTTTCAAAGAACATTCGAAGAGAGCGGTATGGAAGTATATCAAACTCGCGGTATTGTGGAGGTACCTGTAATTCAGAAATCATCAGCTGAAAAAGCAGCCGAAAAAAGCCAATCAAAAATGAACGAATTGTTTGAAAGAACCCGAGACTATTACTATAGGTTGGCGGAGAAAAGCATAGATGAGGCATCGCGATTCGTTGGAAGTTTGGAAAAAATATTAGAGCCAGCGATTAATTAAAGAAAGAAAATTAAATAAAAAAAAAAAAAAAATAAGAAAAAATAAAAAAATAAAAAATAAAAAAAAAATAAGAAAAAATAAAAAAAATATATATATAGATATAAATTGGTTATCGTTCTAAAATGGAACAAGTTTGGAGGATAATACAAAGCGTATAATAATGAGTTGAATAAGATAGTACAAGACTTTCACATTTATTCATTATAAAAAAATATAAATGTATTGTTTTACGTGCAAGAAGTAATAAAAACGTAATAATACGAAGTGGTCATAATTCTTCGTTAGTTTTTTTTATTCATTCGAATTTTTTTTTTTTACAGTGTTTTAAATAATGCTACCAGTATGCTACCCTTATTCTTACCCTCTCAATCTCGATGCCACTAACCACGTAATTCTAATTACGTAGCCATTGAATTTTGTACAAAGTTATTAACAAGAACCCACTGTTTGTTAAAGTCCTCTCAAACGTTTTATTCACTAAAAAAATGTTCCCGGCCGGTCGACATTGCTGTGATGTAACCGCGTTGTTGTAATTGACTTACTGCAAGTTTTTTTTTATTTTATTTTTATTATTATTTTATTTTATTTGTTCGCTCGCTTGCCGTTTGCCGTGGGGGTTTTATTTAGCCGGAAGTTGTTCGTTTGCTTGCTGTTTGCCGTGGGATTTTTGTTCAGCCGGAATCTGCTCATTCGCTTGCTATTTGCCGTAGGGTTTTGTTAACCACTTGTTAACCGTGGGATTTTTTTCTACCAGAGCTTCAAAACGGCGAGTTTTCTTTAAGCCGTTAATTAAAGTTTTTTTTTTTTTTTTTTTTTTTTTTTTTTAATAATTACTAGCTTGCTGCACGAAGTTTTCTTTTTTCTTTCAAGCTATAGCTTGACGCGGGAGGTTTTTTTTCTTCTTTCAAAAATTTCAAGCCAGTAATTACAAAAGGTTAATAAAAAAAATATATTTTAACGATAATTACAGAATTAATAATAAGTACGGCACGGGTACGTGATTGGCTGCATTGATTAGATGATCAATTGACATGCACGTCCCTCTGGACCGTCAATTCAATAGTTACCCCGCTTTAGCGGACCCCCAAAAATAGAAATTTTTATGATCATCAAAAAATTGCATGTGATCTTCGTCCAAAGACTTTTTTAACACACTGTATAAAATGAAGAGTCACCAAATTGAACCCAATAATGCATAAACATTGGAAACTCATGAAGCAACCTATTGCATGATGAGTAAATATAAAGAATCATTGCAGATTTAAATGTGTTATTAGAATCTGAGTCAAATAATATACATAGAACTAAAACAAATGAAATGTCTGATTAAATTTTTATGGAGTGTTGGGTTCGAAAATAGCGAGTCTGTCACTAGAAGACAAGAAATTTTGCATTATGTCGATTTTTAGGGCTTTGATAGAAGCATAGATACGATTTGATAAACCCCTTTTTCGCTACTTTCATTGATGCCATCATATGATTTGGACATTTTATGAATTTGGATCTGCTATTTTGAAAACTTCATTATCTTTTTCAATTTGGTGGTACGCCTGTCTATGAATCGTATGATTATATAGAGCTCAAATATGTGGGTTTCACCCAAATTTGGGTTGATCATGAATGCCAAAATCTGGGGCATCATTATTGTATGCATGATCATTGATCATGCATCGATCCAGATCCCAATCGGCATTTGGATCATATTTTGGGTGTCACGATTTATACTGCCTGTGACAATAGATATGGAAATTATTTGCAGATCTAAATGAATCACTAAAGATTGAGCAAAATTATGCATCAACATTAAGTAACATGATGAAGTTTATCACATAACAAATAAATATAAAGAGCCATTTACAGGATTAAATAAATCACTAGAATCGAACTAATGATATATTGGCATTGGAATTTGTAGAGCAACTTTTCAAGGTGAATAAATATAAAGAGTTACTTGCAGATTTAAAATTATTATTGGGGTCAACCTAAATAAGACAGAGGCATTAAGTGAACATGGTACTGATAAATAAATATGAAAAATTACTCACAAATTTAAGCAAGTTATTAGAAATTAAGCTAAATATTGCATGGATATTAAGTCAGTGCAAGAGATCTATCGAATGATGAACAGTTATAAAGAATCACTTGACAAATTAAATAAATTACTAGTTATCAAACCAAATGAGGCATAAGTATTGAGAATTTATGAAACAACTAGTGCAAGATGAATATATAAGAAGAGTCACTTGAAGATTTGAATAAATTACTAGAATCAAGCCAAATAATATATGGGCGCAGACTACTTATAACATGAAAAATAAATATAGAGAATCATTTGTGATTTAGATAAACCAACAGAAATTGAGAACAGGTGTTAAATCACTACCCAAAATCTAACAACTGACTTGATCCGTCAAATTTTTAAGATTAGCCAGGCATAAATTGAGTCAGATAACGCACGGATATTAAATCAACATCTTTGAAGCAATTTGATAAAGCTTTATAATTGGCAATTATCAGAGCTGGAAAACAGGAAATAAATGAGCACTTTCAATTTATTTCTCTAACTCAAGTCCTAAATAGTGAGTAATTAGTTAAATCATAGAGTAAATGCAATTAAAACCTCTAGATAGCATTTGAAATGAAGTTGTTACTCTAGAGTAATGCAACACATGGAATTGTAATCAACATGAGGCAAAATAAAGTAGTCAGGAATTCAAAGCGACAAAGTTCTCAAAACATGATAATGTATATAATATAATCTTTTTCCATGAGTACCAGTAAAAAAAAAAATATTGAAATTGAGGCATCTTATATCAAACACTTTATATGACAGAAATTTAACTGAGATGTATTAAGGGCCTAGTTTAAGATTTAACTTAAGCTAGTAGCATTCAACGGCTTGCTGATTGAGTGAGCTTTTACCTGACTTCAAACAAGATATGTTAAAAAAAACCTTCCACAATGAATGTAAAAATTCAACAGCATGAGTAATAACACTTTGCAACAATCCAATTACTAATAAAAAAAAAAATTCCATAAACCAACAGAGCATCTAATTTTGATAATAAAAAGAACGATAACCTATATCTGGTTAAAGTATTATAAAGCATATGCAATCTGTAGGTCTAATTCAGCACATATTCCAGGATATAACATACTATACATTGAGCCCAATAGTGATGCAGCTATAAAGTATTAACTCATCAAGACTCAAAGTGCTTGCTAAGTATCTGAACAAGGGTTGCAGCACAGTTTCTAGGCAGGTGACAAGACAAATTATGCCTATAAAGCATGTAGTTTCTATTCTCTTAGAAGATCAGCAGGTGGCCATAAGACACATGTTTATATTAATAGCTGGTTTGTGTTTGCAGACAGGAAACCACTGGCCAGCACTAAGCTGCATAAACTAACTGCTTACAGTAATCTCCCGGCATAATATTATTTGCTATTTTTGGGAGCAATCATGTTTTAGTTTTAACATTTGAATAAAACATAATTTGCAACTAATATAATCTGCATCCATCAAATAAAATTCAACTCTGATATATTAGACCAGACTGTTCCAATTATAAGAAACATGCATGTAATGCTTTTCAAGTAAAATAGTAATTTTGTAAAGGTTCTGGTTCAAAGATTAACAAACACTTATCCTTTTTGGTTAGATTTTTTAAACATTATAAAAAATATTCTTTCTAATTTTTTTAATATTTTATTTCTAATACATAATTAGATTTAAATATAGATTAGTATAGTCAAACCTCTCTAAATGCAACCTCTTTAAATATATATCTATATAAAATCTCTCTAAATACATATTTTTTTTTTTGGCCCAACTTAATATAATACTTGTAGATTTTTATCTCTCTAAATCTCTAAATTATATTATTAAAAATTTTTACTATAGTCCTAATACTATGCATTTAGAAAAGTCTAACTGTATTTAAATTTAAATATTAATTAATATTAAAGGTTTTACTTGTTACAAAGTACTATCCCACCTACCCTTCATGCAAACCTATGTTCTTTATGTTCTTTAAATATTAAAAAAAATACTATACTAAAAATTGAGTACTAAAAAATACCAAAATCAGATACTAAAAAAGACAACTATTAAAAATTTGAATTGTACTAAAAATTCTGATATTATTATTACTAATTTGAATAATGTTCATAAAAGAATATTTAATAAAAATAGAAACATTTTTAAAATACCCTACTAGAAATTAAGTATTATAAAAATATTTTTTTTAAAATTAAAAAAAAAATGAAATTGATATTTTTTTTAATTATTTTTTTTTTTTTAAAATTCGGCAGTATTGCCTTTACTGTTTTATTAGTACTCTAAGGTATTGTGATTACAAACATACATAATTATTTACAGATAAGGCTCACCCGGTTACTAACTTAGTACCTATGTGCGACCTGCTATATGAGATTTTACCTCCTTAGTAACCGCCCCTTTTAACCAGACCAATTACTAAATCACCGGATGGTTTCCAAACCAATATTTATCACATATATCCCACTTATATACTACTATACAATGTCTATCAGCCAACTTCTACCCCTCAGTACTTATCATATTACTCCTAATTCATTTCTTGTACTACTTCCAAATTGGTGTTTTTCGAGTGGGTGCCCTTGGTGCTTCCAGTTTGGTGTCCCTGGGGAGCTACTTTAAGGACCTAATCTGTATTTCAAGCCAGGTGCTGTCAGGTCATAAGACTTGTATCTTAAGCCACCTGCTGCCGTACTAGGGTGTTATTTCACGTCAATCCAGGTATTCGCATCGTACACCACCAAATTAGGCTACTGATCCTTCTATAGTACTTCCTATTGGTATGGTGATACAGGGATCTAGATCCTTAGGACAGGAGTTAAGTACCTTATTTAATTACTATTACAATCCAGTAACCCGGGACCCACGCCTCTGCCGTGTTTCATCATAGACTCCCATATAGGTTGTGTAACTATTACTCCCTAGCCTGTTTTTATTTTTGTACCACCAAATCGCCTGCTTCCATACTTTCGAGAGTTTCTTTTAGCCGGTTTCCTTTGTTTCCTTGTGCCAGAGATGTTCTATATTTGGTAAAGCCATCCTTTTACCACAGCCCCTTACTATGTTCACCGCTTCTCTCACCACTTCTGGATATATCGCATTCAGCCATTCTTCTAATCAAGATCCCAATGCCACCTTAGAGTTGTTAGTGCTACCTTGCCAATCGTGAATTCACACGCACAGCCTTCTGCAGTAATACCTTCTGTAACTCATGTCATACACAATGCCCAGTCTTCTCCATGGCTCGGGGCTCCTTTCAAGAATTCTTTATTGGCCAAATATGTACATCACATGGTCTTACCGCCACAGGGTTTCGCATTCGAAAGCTCCCAAAGGTTACAGAGATAATTAATTAAATTAATTACCACCAGCTATAATCGAACCGTTGATCTTGTCTGTGGAGAGTTAGGTGCCTAAACAACTAGGCTATGAGACCCTAACCCCTATTTTTTTTAATTATTAAATTCAGATTAGTGATATTCCATCAGAATTTTTAGTATATTCAAATTTTTTAATATTTTTATTTTTTAAATATTTGAATTTAAATATTAAAAATATTAAAAATTTTACTTATTATAAAATATCATCTACTTATTCTTGATACAAACTTAAATTCTTTTATTAATTAAATTTAAATTTAATTAATTTTTAAATTAATCTTTAATTAATATAA